CTAAATATTGACTCCTTCCTACTCTGATGGTGATCTCCATAGCAGGACTGCAGTCTTTGAGCAATTATAGCTAAACTGGACATTTCATCTCTGAATATCCTGCATGTTGAGATTGCCTTGGGTCGGGGGGGGTTTAGTTTGGCTGAGCTCAGAGATGTGTTGAGGAGCAGGCATGAAGTTCTCTGGCTCTGAAGTTCCCCGCAGCTTGGAGGGTGTCTGTATCTGGGGCCGTGTTTTGTTTGGGCAGCGATCCTGCTGATTGGAATCACATCAGCTTGGCAGCCGAGTGCGGAATCCCGGCCAGAGCAAACTCCAAGTACACAGGCTCTGAGAACAAAACGTTTCACATGAATTAAACTGTGAGGAAACAAAAATTCTTTAAACCTGTAAGAAAACAAGGCAATGTGAGTGTCATTGCACTGGCAGCAGTGTGATTGCCATATTTGTAAGTGGTGTAAGTGTTATTTATGAAATCTCAGTCACAGTGATTACTGGTTTTGTTTTTAAGATGCTCTTGCCACATCATCTTGCCACATCTCCCCTGGGAAGGGTGCTGCAGCGCGGTGGAGCAGCCCTGGGGGCCCGCGTGCCACGTCCAGCTTTGCTGCACACGCACGTGGCGCTTGATTTCTGGTTCCTCTGGCCGATTTCAGCTTCTTCTGTCCCATGTGCTGCATCTGATCTTGCCATCTGGAAAGGGTTCCTGCGTCCTCTTCTCACCCTTCCATCTCCTGTCCTGTGCCCCTCTTCCCTTTGCCGCTCTGTGCATTATGGGTTTCTCCACCAGAACTTTATTCTTGACTTCCTTGTCATGCCTGTTCATGACAGGAGGTGACTCCCTGCCTGGTGCTGGGAAGCATAAAGTGCAGTAAGTCCCCTACCACCTGCGCCAGCCCTTTCCTTTGCCAGCCTTGATTCTCGCTTGCTCTGATGGCCCCTGTCCCCAGCCCTCCCCTGGTCAGTAGGCAGGTGGCTGAAGCAGCAGGGCAGGAGGGAAATGGGGGCGTTTGCGGCTCTGGGGTGGCACTGGATGTTTAGGAGGGCTGCTAACTACAAGACATTGATGAATTTGATGTGATAGCTTAGCTGAACACGTCTTGCTAACATGCTAGCTGGGCTACACGTTTCCTAACCAGCTCTGTGGAACTGGATCACTTTCAGAAAGATTACCCAGGCCTGGTGCGCTGAGTATGGAGGATCGTGGCATGATCTTGGACTCGTGCATGTTGGCCAGTTTTGTATTACAAAACGTAAATGCTGGTGGAATGATTTCCGACTTTGATAAGTGCTTCCATCCCCTTCGCAGAGGGTCTTACTCTAGTGTTTATACCATGTTTATATGAACTGCTAGTAAAAGATAAATACTGCGCAATGAAGTTTACTGTGGGGGAGGAGAAAGATGTATTTAAGTGTATTAGCAATATTTGCTTAACAAGAAGTGCTTCAGATGTGACATTTATCTGTACAGCATAGCATTTGCTTTAAGTGAAGAGAAGGCCTCAAAAGGGATAAGTTTTTCATATGATCAGTATCAGAATTTTGCTCTCCTTGTAGCACTGCTGGAGCTTGGGCTGGGGAGCTCTTCACCTTCTGGCTCCGCTCGCCCCCGGCTGTTGGCGGTGATGGTAAAGCCTGAGCGTGCGGTTGCTGCACTGCTTTCATCTCCTCGGGCTGTGAGCGATACCATGGAGGTTTTGTATGTGGCAGCAGGAAGTTTTGGAAGTCGGGTTGCACAGAGAGTAGGAGAAAGGAGACACTTGGGCTCCTTGCAGTTCTCTGGAGGTTTGCTGTGCTTGGCTGCGTCCTCTACACTGTTCTGCTGGAGAGGCTGCCCGTGCACTGCTGGAGAGGCTGCTGGAGCCAGCTCAATTTTGCAAGAACAGGAAGCGCTCGCTCTCTAGTAGTAAACAAGAGATTATTTCTGACTGTTTTTCAGTGACTGTAATATCCTGCTCATGCTCTGAGGTGGGTTTTGTAGGGGAATTCCTTCCCAGGTGTTGCGGGAGGATAAGCTGTGCTAAGGGCCACCTCTTGTTGCAGCAAATCTGTCTTTTCAAGCCCTTGAGCTAATGGCTCTTTGAGTAAATGGCTTTTGTGTGCAAGCTAATACTCTGCTGCTTTGGTGTTTGTAGCACCGCATTGCACTGTGCTGAAAACAATTCAGAAACTCAGAAAATTTTGATTCTTATGTTCAGTTAACCTGCAGCTTAAAAGGGCTGCCGATGGCAGGGTTTTCACCGAAACGGGATGTGTGGAAGCTTCTCGGGATAGAGGTGTCCACTGCTCTCTGCAGCGGCTGCTTTGGCTTGCTAGGGCTTGGAGCTCCCCAGCCATCTGCCCTGCAGCTTTCTTCTGTGGAGCAGAGGATGCCCTCAAGAGCACTAAACTGAAAGCAAGAGGAAAATGATGGAACTTGAATCCTTCGTCAAAACCATTGTTTTGTATTGGGATAGTTTGCTGTAAATTTTGCACTGAATGAGTCTCTGTCAATATGAAAATACAGTGCTAATTGCAGCTCCGAGCCTTTCTTTGTCAATTAAGCTATTTTATATGCTTAAGTACTTTTAAAAGTTGCTGCCAATTTGTTATTATTTTTTCTCCTTGCGTTTGTGCCTGTGTATCAGTGTCTAAATGGATGAATGATGAATGATGCGTCGTTCTGAGCTACTGCTTTATGGTGCCAGTTAAGAAACTCTTCTTGGGGTGATTTTTTCTCAAGAGCTACCGTGTGAACTTAGTGCTTCAGACACATAAAATGAGAATGGTATAATGTTCCCTGAGCCCTTATTCACTCAAATTGCCAAAGTCATGCTTTTCAAGAACTTTGTGAACTTAAAGCACTTTAAAGAAATATTTTGGGTTCACAGAACTGGAAAGCTGATGGTTTTTTTTCTTTAAAAAAAAAAATACATTGGCTACTGTTATTGGTCAGCATTTGCCAACAGCTTCTGCAGGAGATGCCAGTTTGGAGTGGAAACTAAGGAACGGATTCAGCGAAGTACTTTATCCTGTTCTTGGCTTTAAGCACATGAATAATCCCATTCACTCCCCACGTGTGCTTTACTGGAACTGCTCACATGGTGGAAGTTAGGCATGTGTGCGAATAACTCGCTGCTTTGGGGTCTCCCCGCGTGGGGTCTGCCGGCAGAGCCGTGGGTTTGTCAGGACAAGCGCTGTGGGACCCGTGGCAGGTAGCGCGGGCCGGAGCAGCAGCAGCAGCAGCCGGTGCTCGAGGGCACCTCCGCGGCCGTCTCGTCCTGCGCCCTGGCAGCCGCTCGTCTGCCCGCTGCCAATCGCACTGGGGGGTTTTGGCACCCACCCGCTCCAACTGGCTGCTTATACAAGTGCTGAATTGCCTTTGTAAGGCAGAGAGCAGCCTTTTCCTTGTTTGAGCCTGTGTATGTGGTTGCTAAAACTTTGAAAAATGTAGATCATTTTCAGAGCTTTCCTCATTTTGGTTGAGTTGCACTCACTTTAGCTTCGTCACTCATCCCGCAGAAGCTGATACCGATACTGGTGGAGGAAATCAGCAGTATCGGGGCTCTGGGCTCCGGCCTTGGAGGTGCTAAAAGGAATTTTTTCATGCACTGAATATTTAGTAGAAGTGCCGTGAACTGCTCACCTCAAGGAGCGGAGCTGCCTCAGCATGCAGGAAAGGAGAGGTTAAATGCTGGCCAGCGATCCCCTTCCGCTTGGTATTCCCAGCTACAAACCCTGTTTTGATCCAGAACTGGCCTGCCAACAAAACAATACTACTGCAGGTTAAAAATAAACCCTAGCAAGTTTCCAAGCTCCATGTTTCTCTTCCATGTCCCCAAGTACCCAGAGGAGCATTTGGCCTCTGGAACAGCAGGTGTCCCCAAGGACCCAGCACCGTCAGTGGCTTTCCCCATCTCCAGCATGGTCTGCACTGCAGGTTTCTGCTTCTTGGGCCTCAAGGAACAAGGTCTTTTTCTTCAGCAACTTAGCAGGACCACAGCCTCTAGGTAAAAGCCATTGGAGCTGTTACTGGACTAACATGGAGTGTGAGCTAGAGCCAGATGAAAAATACCATGGGTTTCTTCACTGGCTTTGGAGACCTGAGCGCTGACATGAACAGCACAGAGGCCCCCCCGTAGTATTATGGCAGTCAATAACTTCATGCGTGAGCTAGGAAAGCAACTATTATTTTCACAGACTGTTTATGCCTTGAATATACTTGAACTGCTCTGGAGGAGTGGATTGTTTTAACAGGCTTTGTTTGATAATGATAACATATTTATGAAATTAAACAGGAAGTTTATTGCCAAGAAATTGTCAAGCATTTTCAACGGAAAACTGAAATCCATAAAAACTCGTATGAAAACCTTGTAAAATCGAAATAGTTGGATTCTTCCCTTGTGTATAAATAAAATGTTTAATAGGCACTTTGCTCACCTAAACTGCAGGACTGAAAAGCAGGGACCTGAGCTGGGTTTCCAGCCTTGCTGCAGCGTCCTTGCACGGTTCTGGGCAATCGCTCAGCCTCACTTTTTTGGCAGCCTGGACCCCATGATGTTCCCCCGCTAGTGAAGGGGAAGGAGAGGCTGCAAAACAAGTTAAGATTCTCCCATCAAAAATAAGAGCAGAAGGTTTGATAAAAGCAATCTGGAGTCATCACAGATCCATCTTGTAACTGCTGATTTGTAAGAGTGGAGTCACGAAGCTGTACTGGCCGTACAGAGCACAGCTCCCTCCCACCCCTGCTCTAAAATGCCTGAATTATTGTGTCTCTTTGTGAGTGCAAATCTAGTTTAATTAAAAACAGTTTTCTCCGTGCTAATAGTAATAATGGATCTTCAACTTCTTAAGTTATAAAATAGGATGAAGCATGCTACCTTTCCCCTGGAAATTTCCAAGACACTTTGAATAGCAAATGAAACACATTTGAACAGATGCAGTAACTAATTAACTAATTTCCTTTTTTTTTTCTTTTTTTGTCCCCTAGAACTCAAGTTAATTGCTTTTCTTTCTCTGTTTAGCACTTCCAGACCATGTTAAAAACAAAGTTGAATGTTCTCACTCTCCGGAAGGAACCTCTCCCGACTGTGATCTTCCATGAACCAGAAGCTATTGAGCTGTGCACCACAACCCCGCTCATGAAGACTCGGGCTCACACTGGATGCAAGGTACTCAGACAAGACCACTGCTGGGGTGTCCCATGTGTGTAAGAGGGATCTAAAGAGCCCAAATGAATGTTGTGGTTGCTGCTATGGAAACCCCATTGACTACTGGCCTTACAGTTTACAAATCAAAAGGTCATTTGGGTTTTGAAATTAAGTTCAGGATCTCAGTGCCACCAGTTTTGGTGTGTGGTGCAATGCAAATTGAAGAGGATTTGTAGCTGCTTGTACTTAATGTCTCTGATGGTAAACACAGACGTTGCTTTCTGTGAGTGTTGGTGCTGAAATAGGAGCTGAAGGACCAGATGCTGCTCCCTGTGTTTAGAAAGCCAAGCTAAGTGAGATACAATCCTGTAGAAATAGAGTTGCAACCTGAGATTGAAGGATGATTGTTTCAGAAGGTGGCAGTTAGGCCTGGAATTAGTTGCACAACCAGATTTATTTGCCTGCTTTCATCAAAGCACAGGTTCTAAACAAGCTTTACTTCTTTAAGGTGTAGCAGCCTAAGTGCTTCAAGTGTGCTCTACTGTGAAAAGAAACTGCTAAAAGAGGAGCTAATAAATGTGCTCCATGTGCGTGTAGTGACAGAGCCATTTTATTGTTAAAGAGAGCCTGGGCTTGGGGTTGGAAGAAATTGCTTCATGTTTTGTTCTTTTTTTTCCCCCCTGCCTTTCCTGGCCTGGTGTCTGCACTGTGGGAGTTATGTGTGGATGGCACCTCCAGGGCCAGCACTTTATCAGCAAAATTTCTCACTGGGAAGTGTCATTTTTTTGTTTGACTCCTACCTGCTGAAATAGCCGAGAAGGGAGCTTGTTCTTCAGTGCCGAGCCCTGCTGCTCGGTGACCCTACTGTACCTGGTGTGTTAACTCATAGCATCTGCTCTTCCATGCTGATGTCTTTTGTCCTTTATGTTGACAGGTAATGAATTTTTAGAGAATATTTGCTATCATAAATACGATTCACAAAGTATTTGCCTTCCACCCCTGGTGTGAGGAGTTCAGACGTAATAACACTTTCTGAAGTGAGAGTGTGTGTGTAGAATTTAAATGAGCATTTTTATTCAACCTGCGTTTTCTCAACTGGAAAAGATGGATTGCAGAGAGATGCTGAGCTCCTCAGTGCAGAGAATTTTGCTCTGTAGTTAAGGTTTTGTTTTGTTTTTTACCTTGCAAAGTAACATAGTGGTTGTGACTGGGGAGCTCTTATTTTGCCCAGTGTCTTTATTCATGATCTGTTTTTTCTGTTTTTCTTTCCTGACTGCTCTTGTAGTAGGCTTGTGTCCTCCAGCTGTTTCTGGGTAATTAGCCCGCCTTGCCTCTCTCCCCTCCAATTACTGGTTTCTTGGTGAGTGATACTCTGTGTTGCCATTACAAAGCCAATATTTTATAATAAGGTTTTTTTCTCTGTGTGGTCTGATCTATCATAGCTATTCCAGGTTGTAAGTGGGGAAAATGCTGTGGTGTGTCCAGTGTTAGCTCTCATGAGATACTGGCCTTTTAGGCAAGAGCACAGCATGCCGTTTTTGCTTTCGTTCATGAGTCATACTCTTTTGATCCTTAATCATTTTATTCCTCTTCACTGAAATCCCTCCAATTTTTCTATGTAATCCCATTAATGAGATAGCATCATTCTTCTCACACAGCTCCAGACATCTCATTTTACTGCAATTTTAACATAAGCTGGCACCATCATGTTATGGGAACTTGACATATGCAATTGCTTTGCTGCTCAGAGGTCTGGACATTGACTTTTGTGGGAGATTGCTCATTTTCTTATCCTTTCATCACAAGACCAGCTTTTCTTTTCCATTTGGCTTTTGCTGTTGAATCCTGAAGTAACCAACTCTTCAGCTGAGATCCAGGCTCATTTTATAATTTAATGTGATAGTTGTAGGAATAGCAGAAAAATGATTTGCTTGAGAAAGTCTGGAGGCATCTCCTGCAAAGACTGGGAAATTAAGTAACAGCAAAATTCCTGAAATATAATTTGGCTTGCAGCAGAAGGCTCAGGACTGGTCCCCCCAATCTCAGCACATCCACCCCTGTGTGCTCTTGCTGCCTGAACCGCCACCTTTTCCCACCTTCTGGATTCTTCGGCGTGATTTTGCTCAGCAGGAAGGAAGAGGAAGTGTTTGCCAGTGTTGCCAGGCAGAATGACTGTCACGGGTGCCTGAGGAGTCCCAGGGCTGGCAATAAGTTTAAGTCTTTCTTCCTTCCCTGCTGGACAACACTTTAAATCACAGATTCCTAATTTGCTCTTATTTAAATGGAGGATTTTTGTGTATACTGACGTGAGTGTCATGTAGATGTGCATATAAAGATCTGTGTCTTTCCTTGTTTGGAGCCAAAGGTTTTGGGTATGACAGTGGTTATCTTCCTTGTGGCTCTTTCACATCAAACACAGAGCACTCGTGTTTCAGCTGGAAACTTATGTTATCGCAGCACTAAGTACAGACAGATGGAAACTGAAAATCTGGAACATCTCCAGAAAATAGGTTGCTGTCTGCACAGAAATATATGCTTTCTCTGGGCCTTTTAACAGATTTGTTTAAGTGCCGAGTATTTTATTCTTCACTAATGTCCTAATCATCTTACACTGACTCTAACGTTTCCTGATTTCTGTTGCTTGAAGCTACAGTGGTGGCATGAAGGGAAATGACTAAATGAGTCTCTCTCTTCTGTTGTGTTTTCAGGCACTGTTGCTGTAACACAAAAGGACAGAGGTTAAAAACATTGCCTGCAACTTTTGAAGTGGTGTCATAGATTTAACATTTTTATTAAATTACAAGGCTCTTCAAAGTGAAGTCTGAAAAGCATTGAAGAGTCAGTAACCCGACTCGGGACTGCTTTCCTTCAGATGTTGTTAGCCACCTGGATGAAGTGATCTTGCCCTTCCCGTTTCCACCACTGCATAAGCTATGCTCATCCCTGTGGGAGGCCACGATTACAGAAACATCAGCAGTGCAAGTAATTCTATTCTTAAGGATATGCTTTTATTAAATGGCAAAGCGTATTTTTGTAACATGGTGTTTGCAGGAGTGAAACTTACTGTTTACCTGTCTTAATGTATTCAGGTGAGAAGATGACTAATTCAGGCTTTGCCGAAGGTATGATATTGAGGTTTCTGCAATCATTTAAATATTATTTTATTTTCTTATTTAAGTCTTAGTATGAAGCTGAGAAAAGTTGTCTTTAAGGGCTTGAAAACATGATATTAGAGCATTACTGACATTTTAAAATCAGATCATTCACATATTGATCCAGATTTTAAAAATAGCCAAGAATTAATATAAAGAAAATGTGTCTTTCAGAATAGCTTTAATGACAACTTCACTCCCAAAGAAGAAACAGTGACTGCACTGTCTGCCGTGTGGTGACACTTACCATTGATTTTATTCTGTGTCTGCGCCAGGGAAGGTGACAGTGTTGCAGGGAGGGACATCTGCTTTCTGGTAGCTTGGAGAGTTTTCCCTTCCCCTTGAATGTGTCAAACCTGATAAAGCAAAACCTGCCAGGGTATTTTGATACCCAGAGACCAGGTTGCCCTGTTTTCTTTGTACTGCTGGCTCTCGGGAGCTGAAAACATGGGGAAAGCCAGGAGCCAGAGGTGAGAGCAGAGTACTTGGCAATGCCTTGTTCGGGAAGGGGCTTGTTTGGAGCAGGCAGGGGCTGAAGGAGAGTCATCGAGGGCAGCGATGGCCAGTGTGAGCAGAGCAGCAGCCCAATGCGGGGTGACCAATGGACCTGGTCATGGCCTTCGATACCTGCCGACTGCTCAGCAGAACTTGGCTGTTGTGGCTGGAGCCTCTTGGACTCCTTCCTGATAGACAGAAGCAGCTCCCCCATGGTGGAGCAGGTTTTATGGATATTATGCACATTATAGATCTGGTCAGTATGAAGTCACGTGGTAGAACACTTTTGAGCATGCCTTTGCTTTTTTGATCTCTCTGGTATTTAATTATCTGCTGTTTTATTTAAACTTCTGCAGGCAGTTTGGGTATCTTGCACCTCTTAAACATTTATTGCCAATTTGGCTACTCGAACCACACCAAGTTAGAAGCTACATTTGTTCTTAAAACCACCCACTTTGTCCTAATAAAGCCTAATAAAAGTGTTCTCTTTGCAGCTATAGTGTGGTCAAGAATGATTCCCTGGAGTGCAGTGTTATCCAGCTGTAAATATAAGTCAGCTAGCTGGATGGTCTGCATTACGATTTTGTAAGCTTGTAACTCTAAGGTGACCATTGATTTAATAAAGAAAGAAAATTAAGCAAACGAAACAAAGTCAACTAACATCACTCCCCAGCCGGTTATTTTCCACCATTCTTCATCTGAATGTGGAGCTCTTGGTTTTTTAAAGGCCTTCTGTTATTATGCTTAAGCATTCCATATTTTTACTCTGAAGTGAGAGCATTATTTTAGAAGTTTATTTTGTTTTTCTGCTTCTTTCTCCTCTTACCAAATGAGCCAAAAGGGAACATGTGAGTTTTGCTTGGGACAGATCTTAATAGCTTCAGTATATTTAGAAACAGTGCTTAGTGGTGAGAGACTTTAATAATGTATTTGCAAAAAGTGAAGTTGATGTTCCAACAATTATGCCAAAGAAAGGCCGAGTGTTTTGTTTACTTTTTTCCATATAGTGTTAATGTGAAGCAGAGTGCTTCGTCCCAAAGCTGGAGAAGAACTGAGCTCTTGCTGAAGCCCTTATAGGTGTGTTTGTCCCAGAACACCTCAGAAAATTTGGCCAAGTCCTGTCCTAATGTTGACGATGGACACCTGCATGTACTCAGCGCTTCTCCAGAAGCGACTGTACGGGGAAGTCCTGTCCTGCAGCTGGAGGTTGAGGAATGGGTTGTTCTTGGCTCCAGGGAAGTGTGTCCATGCAGGACAACTGCACGCAGCGCGTCCTGCCCAGCATCCCGCGGACAAGGAGAAGAGCCGCAGTGAGCACCTCCTTTATGTATAATTTTATTTACTTCATCATGGAGAGCCCATTTATGTCAGGGA